AAAAAAAAAAGAAGAATTTTCTCCTTTGCTTTTGAAGTTGTCAGATCTCTGTAGCACCACTGTATATATTTAAACTCATCCCTCTCAGCTGCGACTGATCTTTTCTCCTTTCTCGCTTCTTTACCTCACAGGGAGTAGACTGGGACAAAACCCTAGCCTCCCTGGATGTTGACAGAAATGTAAAAGAGCCAGAATGGGCCAAGCCGGGCACCAAAGCAGGGATGGACATGCTGGAGTCCTTCATTGATGTACGACTTAAACTGTTTGGCAGCCAACGCAACGACCCGAACGCTCCCGCCCTGAGCCAGCTTTCCCCCTGGCTTCGCTTTGGTCAGTATTCTGTGTAAAACTCTGAATTTAAAAAAAGAGTTTTCTTAAGGACATGACTCTCTAATATTATTCATATGCTCTAGTTGATTAGTCCTGCCAATTCTGCTTTTGTCCTGCACTTGTCCAGTTTCTTCAAAATGTCTTAAGGACACACTGCACAAGATATGACTAGTTTGGAGCTAAAAGCTTTTTAGGAATCATGTTGCTGGTGCAAAAATACTATTTTTTTTATTTTTTATTCTTTTTATGCCTGTCAAACAATGACAGAATTGGCATATTTTTTGTAGATTTAACGAAATAAATGGGAACAAATGTGTTTTCTGACAGGCTGCTAGTTGCAAAGTGCCTAAAGATACAATTTAAAGTTGGTTCCTTACTAAGTTGTCTGTTATGCGCAGACCAAACACTGGTTCATCCCTTGAGTTAGGAGGCTTTTTTATTCTTGAGTGAGTCACAGTCAGTGTTAAGTGGCTTAACAAAGCAGTCCTCAGGACTAAAAACGAGTAAGATAAAAAGAAAAGAGAAACTTTGAAAGAACTTCAGGAAACTTAGAGAACTTTTGCACAGGACCACTTTAAAAATAACAAGAAAGTCTGGCTACTTGGAAGCAAAATATGAATACATGACAGGTGGCTTAAGACTTTAGTGCAGTACATCTGGAGAAGAATCCTTAATAGCATCTTGGTGTTCTGTTCAGTCTGTTCATCGCGCAATAACTGCTGTAATCCTCTTCAAGAAAAACTTGACTGCCTTCTTTGTAGATCTCCTTGAGACTTTTGATAATGTGGGTGAGTTCAGAGTGTTGCTTTTATAGATGGTTTAAAATTATGTCCCTAAATGATAAAAGTGTCCTACACACTTCCCATATGACCTCCCCCTTGAGTTCATTGCTTAAGACAGCAGTTATACTCACAACTTTTATTGGTCCGGTTATCTCGGACATCCAGAAGGCATCAGCACGCCTGTGTTTTGAATATTAATGCCTTTCCTTCACGGCTCCGCAGACACTGAACATCTTTACAAGTTCAAAGAGAGCAACCGTGGCACCACATCACAGAACAGTTTAGCTCTGAAAGATTGCCGCACGTTCTCTGAACCGGGAAAGACATTTTAATTGCTTCTCCTCTCCATATCTGCCTTTTTGTCTTCCTGGTCCTTTTAGGCCAGATTTCGGCCCAGCGTGTGGCTTGGCAGGTTCAGCGCAACGGGAAGAATGCAAGTCAGTCCGTACCGGCCTTCATCGAAGAGCTGGTGGTGCGTCGAGAGCTGACTGACAACTTCTGTTTCTACAACAAGAAATACGACAGCGTGGAGGGTCAGTGGAGACCTCATTAAAATTGCATCCTGTCGACTGCTGTGACGTCAGTCGGATGAATCGCAAGCAAATTTAGTTGAATAGAAGTTATTCAGCTTCACAAGTGTTTTTGTTTAAATATATTTGTGTCTGCGTTTCATAGGTGCGTATGAGTGGGCTCAGAAGACCTTAAAAGATCATGCCAAAGACCAGAGGCCGTATCTCTACACGCGTGAGCAGCTGGAGAAAGCAAAGACTCATGACAAGCTGTGGAACGCAGCTCAGGTACAACGTTCAGTCTAAAATGAAATGTTTGAACACATTCGGTCCATGTTGTGCTTTTTCTAACTGCTGCATCACCACCATTAGTACCAGATGGTTACAGAGGGGAAGATGCATGGTTTCTTGAGGATGTACTGGGCCAAAAAGATCCTGGAGTGGACTTCTTCCCCAGAGGAGGCGCTCTCCATCGCTCTGTACCTAAACGATCGCTATGAGCTGGATGGTCAAGACCCTAACGGCTTTGTCGGTAAGAACAGATTTATTTTGACTTATTTGATCAAATATGCATTCGTTTTCTCCCACACTCTCACACACTCTGCTGCATTTTGGTCTCGTAGGTTGTATGTGGTCTATTTGCGGCATCCACGACCAGGGCTGGGCGGAGAGAGCCGTATTCGGGAAGATCCGCTACATGAACTACAAAGGCTGCCTTCGGAAGTTTAACGTGGCTCAGTTTGAGAGAAAGTACTGTCCTAAAAGTCTTTGAAGCACGATATGTTTGGAAGGATGCGTTAAAAGCGCTCGACAGCGTGGATCTCCTACACCTTGGCCTCAGGGACATTTTTTTTCTTGTTACAGCCTTTCTGGTTTTTGTTCTGTTCTTCACAGCTTGTTTTGTTCAAAACATTCGCTCTATTCTTGCTTGCGTCGACACTTTTACTAAATATTCAGACGTGTTCATGCATAATAAAACTGTAGGCTGTTTGTGGCATTTTAAAGTGAGCTTTAGAGAAAACACTTTGGGCTTTGTTAATATAAAAGCACCATAAAAACAATCACATTACTACCGTCGTTCGGTTTTTAATACAAGTTTGAAGTCATTTTCTGTCCACTTGTATCATTTCCAACTCTCTCACTGTTATTTCTTTAAACTTGAAATAAAGCGTGTTTCTTTAACAGACTGAACTGCTCTTTACTCAAAAGCATACTCCCACCCACAGTGACTGAGACGTAATTTAATTTGAATCCAACTCTTTCACCATTTAGCCAAGGTTTTCAGTAATGCTGCCTACAGCTATGTTTGATGAGAGGCTTTCCCCATAATCTAATCAAACCGGTCAATATGTGTTTTGTTTTTGGTTTTTTTTGTAAACACATCTAGCATAAACTGTCAGCAAACAGATGGAAAAATAATGCTCTAGACTAGAGAACCTCACATGATCCAAAGTGAATCTAAATGAAAAGTGTTAATATTCTCATGTTTGCAGCCACTGGGTTTCATCACAGCCCTAAATGTGCTTTTATTGAGCCCAGATGTAATTAAACAGAACCAAAACCCATTCTATCCAGCCTAATTAACTGCACTCCTCAGTAGTGGATAAAAACAGCCCGCGTAGGTAATGACGTGCTTAACACCAAGTCACAAATTGGCATATGAAAGCTCGTCCTTGCGATGGCCTCTTTTGTTGTGCTCTGTTCATTTCAGGGGAGAGAGATACTTCACCTTTTTTTCCTCATTTAATTAAAATGAGCTCAGAGAAGTAGACTTTTACAGGTTACAGTCATAAAGGATATACTCTCACTGCTAAACTTTATAAGGCATGCCTATTCTGCTGCTTGCTTGTAGTGCAAACATCCAATCAGCCAATCGCATGGCAGTAACTCAACACGTTTAAGTATGTAGACATGGTTAAGATGACCCGCTGAGCATCAGATTGGGAAAAAATGGTGATTTAAAAGAGGCACAGTCGTTGGCGTCAGCAGTTTTACTCGGGGATATGATGAAACGGGAGGTTTCCATTATGGATACGCAGCTGACAAATCTGCAGCAAATGTGTGATGCTGTCATGTCGACATGAAGCAGAATCTCAGAGGAATGTTTCCCGTGTCTTGCTGAATCCATGGCGCAAACAATTATGGAAGTTCCGAAGGTAAAAGGGGGTCCAATCAGATACTAGCAAAGTGTACCTAATGAAGTGGCTAGTGATAGTGTGGTTATATGACAGCGAGTAGGGCTGTGAGTCACGTTAACAGCTGCAGAGACGGGAGTTATTTTCCTAGAGTAAATGGCTTGATTGATCTAAACAATTTCATTGGTATCTAATTATCTCCTGAATGACTGACCTTGTCTAAACTTCTGGCAGGATTATCACTGCTGATATTTGATATATAAATATGCTGCTGACTATCACAGAATTATAAGGAAACATTTTCAAAACATTTAACCACACACATTTTTTGTGCTAGTGCTGCTCTAGTGACCTTTAGTAGCGTTTTCACATGATCGCCTCAAAAAAAGGCTAACGAGTATGCTGACAAGCCCTTTTAGCCTCATAATAAGATTAACAGACAGCCCACATGGACACCTCAGCATGGATTCTCCAAGTCTCTACTGATCTCCACTGAAGCTCTAAATCTAAAACCTTCTCTAGGTGTTCATTTGAGTGAGGTCATACGTCATCACATAAAGATCGGATAGCAAATGTGCCCTCTTGATGATCACCAGGTGGGTCAATCCCTGGTCTAGCCAACTAGTCAACCCGGTGAATTGTTGCTGATAAACCTCAGCCTTAAAAAACTGCGTTGCTATCCAAAGAGATCCTAGCATGATTACAAGTATTAATACACAGTGATGGGCGAATGGTGTTGGTCATTTGGACAGATGGAGTGTTTGCAAATGGCTCAGTCAGTCACGGTTGTTCGACTGATAGAAGCCTGCTGGAAAGTCTTTGCAAGTGGATTAAGTACCTTAAACCTGACAGCTATCTTGCTTCATTCTACTGCTTAGTAAATGCAAATCCTCCTTGAGCTGACCCCGGCGCTGGCGTACTAAGGTGTCGCTTCATTGTGCTCTGGCCTCTCCTCAACACATCAGGTCAATGACACTTGGAGTAACGTTTTTCTCAACTGTTATTAATGTAAGAGAGACCTTTGAGTTTGAGACAGCCCATCTGTGTCAGTCCCCATTCTCACAATATACTTAACCTCATCTCATTATGAAGCACTTCACATCATCCTCTTGGCAGGAAATCATATCTCCACTTCCATATCCTTCTTGTCTCTGATACTGCTCTGCGCCTTGACATTATCTCCTGTCCTAGTACATTTCCAATTATCACTTTGCTATTAAAAGAGGACTGAGTGGCACTGTAGCCTTTAAGTTTCCATCTCTCCTCATCTTCTACTGTAATAGAAGTGGCCTTTAAGTTTACCGTTGTTGCAGAGCCAATTAGATTTCTAAGCTCAAACTCGTAACTCACTACCGTTTGTTATTTTGGGAGCTCTTGTCGTGTCAGGATGATGGATATAAATTACCTTTTCAAAGTTTCGTGTCTGTTGAGTTTGATCGGATGATTAGTGTCTCTCACCAGTCTTCCTTCCCAGAACTCCCACTGAGCATCGCGTGAACTTTCTATTGTTTCCAATTCTTGGGCCTCGTGACTTTCATCGTGAGGATGATTCCATATTTCTGTGAGTGAAAATGAAACACATTGAATTTCTAATTTCTGTGATCTGTCCTTTAATGTCTTAATTTAAAAAAAAATCTTTCAAAGGTAAATGATGTTGCCTGCCTCGAAGTGTCACATTAAAGTCCCACAGGAGTCAATCATTACCCCGGTCTTGAGTGTCTGTAATTATTTGGGCGACGCTGTGATGTACCCTTTTTTTAATGGGCCAATTTGCATAGCCAGTGCGTAAACGCTGCATTTTGTTATGTTGATGGAAGCTGTGGGTAGAGGGCCCTTCATCTGTGCTGGTGTGGCACACTGATAACGCTGTTTCATTCCAAAGCGATTTGTCAGTATTGAACAGATGGCTCATCTTTGTCTGCTTTCACATCCTGCTTCATCTAATCATTCATTAATTCTTTGTTCCATATTATTGACCCGGTGACATCATCTTTCCTCCTAGCTTCTACCCCTCATCATCATCTTCTCCATGTATACAAATGAGTTTTTTCCTCCGCGCTGTGCGTCACCTAAAGTTGAGATGAGACATCCTGTCGGAAGGTTCTCGTGGCTTTCGGCACACCTCGTTATTGTTCACCCCGACACTTTTACTGCGATGTATACACAGAAGACCTTTGCCTCCCGGGGCCGGTTGCACTATAGGAATTCAAAGAAGACAAGACTCGGTGTGATCTTTTCTTTCTGAGTGGGCCTGCTGACACATCTTACATGCAGCACTGATATTCAAAATCAGGTCTGTTTTAATGGTGCACACCATAAAAAGATATTGTAAACATGTCATATGTACACATTGTGCATCAAAAAGTAATTAAAGCAATAGGTAAACAATAGCACCGCTTACCAGCAAAGCAGAAAATGAATTGGATATTTTAAACTGAGCAATAACCATATGTCAAATTATGCTGCAGTGAAAACTTAAGCAATATGTAGAGTTACTAGTCATGTACATTGTATACAAGTCCATAATATATGTATCAATATATGTGGAACCTCTGTGGCAACTGCTACATAATATCAGTGATTCTTTAGTATTTTCAGAATATAATGTAAATACTTGTGTCATGATTAGCGTCCGTAGTGGTTATAAATATCAAACCGTTTCATGTACACTTCGTTGGCTTTCATTCACAGACAAATGTATTCAGTGTTGCTAGGAATGTGTTAATGGGCTGTAGAGCAGCATATAGGCAAGCCTGGAAATATTATTCATTACATTACACAGTATGTATGTAATAAATACATTCACCTCCATTTCCAATAGAAAACGTTTACTTTTGATGCATTTGATGGGATGCGTTGCCAATGCATAAAAATGCTGCTGCATCATCTATGTGGCAGTGCAGTAACCTCAGTGTGCGGTCTTGTTGGTCTTCACTCTGAATGTAATTTGAGTTATTGTTGTTTTTACACTCTGGGACTTGTTGATAAAAATGATTATAGAGTAAAAGCATGCAGGAGGGAAATATGCTTGTTTTCTCTTAAGGTGAGGAGCCTCAGGAACCACCTTTTAGCTCATCCGGCTGAAGGACCGTCTGTTTCTGTCCATCCACAGTTCACAAGACCTGCTGCTCCCCCTCCAGTATTTGTCAGATTTTAGTGTAGTATTTGTAGTTTTTTGGGCAATAGCCTGTGAATTGTGTTCATTGTGAGTCAGATCAGCTTCTAAGACACAGATTCTGGTTGTGTTCGAGATCTATATGAATGCAGGAACATCGTTTTCCATAATGTTAGTGGTGCTTGGTGCAGAACTCTTGTTTATTCAGTTTTTCCTTTACTTCCTTTGTCTCCTAAAGGCTCAAAAGGCTCCAGAAGTCATTTTGTTACTTTGGGATGTTTTTTCACGCAGGGTGCTGCGTGGAGTCATCTGGAAGCTCCTCGAGTGTTCTCTCCAGCTGTTAGAGTAGCAGGTAATGTGGCTAAACATTTCTCTGAACCTGGTGGACATGAGGTTGTAGAGGATGGGGTTGACAGCGGAGCTCAGGTAGAAGAGAACTCCAGAGATGACGTGGACATGCTCGAAGATCCTGCGGTGCTGCTCGTATGATATGTTGATGTAGCTCCACATCAAGCGATCGATGTGGAAGGGAGCCCAACACAGGCCAAAGACAACCACCAGCACACCTAGAGCAGATGGAACAATGGGTGTGATTCATGGGGCACATAAATTTTGTTTTGGGACACCAGTAAAGTCTTTAATGGCAGATGACTAGTTAAGCAAAATATTGTAAATAATCTTAAAATAATGAATTTAAACACAAACATTTCAGAAATGTTGACTATGGGGTCTTGATTTTTGTAGGGTTAGGGTTGTTGCCAATTTAATTTAGAATAAAAATATAGTAAAATAACACCTACATAGCATTTTGGTTACTTGCACATTTCGTTTGCTCAGCCTCTGATTGTGGGAGCTGGAGATACTTTCAGAACCGAAGCCACAGTTAGTATCCACCGTGGTCAGCACCCTCTCCCTGCGCAGCCTCAAGCCAATGAGCAGGTAGAGAACGCTAATGATCAGCATGGGGAGCAGGAAGAAGACCAGCGTGGAGATCAGGATGATTAAGTTGTACATCCAGATGGGTTTGACCAGATCTGAGGATATATATAAGATAGGATAGCAAGAGAAACAGAATAAATCTGAGCAGTGCAAATGAAAATGTCTAACACAGACTTTAACCTGGCAGCTTTCTTCGAGGTTTCTCATGTGACATCACATACACAGTACTGGTTGCTAGGGGAAAATATTTGTTTCCCGACTAGTTGGAAGTGTTTCCTGGAGGTTGCTTGCTCTGGCTGGGTGAAATCCAGACAAAGACGGTGCTGCATCAAAGACCTCTGAGAGATTGCTTTGATTTCTAGCAGATTGTAACTGCTGCCTGTAGTTTTTCATGTTTCTTTGCAGACACTTGTTAACCGCTACTCAAGCTGGAGTAAAACTTGAAAAAGTGAGACACAAACATGAAAATGGAGTAGGTTCACCTTTAGATTAAAGGTTGAGCCTCAGCACTGCAGTCAACATGCTTCAAAATGCATCATTTTTACTTTGAAAGCAAATGGTCTTCATTTTCAGTTTGTGCCACCGTTTTTGCAGATTACCTACACCTCAGAGAGTAGCTGGCCAGTGCATCACTTCCATGCAAACTTTGGGTGATCACAGCAATAAGACAGCGACCGAAGCAATCGTGAGGAGGGTTTTGTGAACTGTTCGAAGAAGATGTATTTTCCCCTAGTGATGGAGGCTGGGCTTTAGCAGGCATTTTCCTAGCAACCTCCAGCAACTAATGGGGGAGTACTCAATTTTCTTTCACAACCGGTGGTTGGCACAGTCACAACCTGGTCTCTAAGCCCATGTGACTGGGTCCTATATCATTTTCTCCATTGTCACTATGGCTATCACATCCAAAATGGCCAACAAGTTCATGTCATATGATTAGCAGTCTGTAAAATGCTATTAGCATAAAGTAATGGTTGCTTGTGGACATGTCTGAACCTGTCCTACCTTCGTTTTGCTCTAGGCCAAACTATTTCAAGTAGAAAGAAGACGTCTAAAGCAAATTCTCTTCTATCTGTCTGTTGTATATTCAAAACGGCAACTTCATACAATGCTTCAGCTTGATTCCCCGAATATTATCCAGAGCTCATGCTTGAAAATGATTATAGATCACAATTCCAGGTATACCATTACTTTTAACTGTTAATTCGCTAGCTGGGACCACATCCTCATTTAGGTTTGACAGTGTTTCTAGAAGATAATAGCAGATGGTTTGAGCATAAATTGAAGGTGCGGTTTGGGAAAGGCCTCAGAGGGGACTGACGGCGGCTCCTGGGTCAGGCAGATCCCCATGTTTTAATGAGAAGTGAATTCATTGAAAAAGGGAGGGAGGATGGGACATGAAAACAAGAATCAATAGCTTGTAGTGCTCAGGAGGTTAGATGTATGGAGGTGTGGTCCTGCTCCTTAAATTCAGGTAAATTATTTCCAATACGCAGTCAGGTTTCTGGGTTTTGTTTTGTTTTTTTACCCAAACTATAACCATGAAAATGTCTGGTAACAGTCTGTTAGAAAAACCACTACTTTGTTCCAGACTGAAATATTGCAGGAGCTATAACGTAGATTGCCTCTTGCAATATTAAAGCTACTTTCAGCTGCTCTCTTAGTCATAAAGGGTCATAACAGCAGGTTGTTCTCCATATTTGATTTAGCAGTTATATGCCAGATACCCTTCCTGACACAACCCCCTAGGGATTTGTGGTCTCATAATCTGGCAAGCCAGGTTAATACTGCTGCTACCAAAGTGTAGTATCACGTACTGTATTCAGTGTACTGGGACGAACTTTACAGTAGTGATCCCAGACAAGATTTACTGATATTGCTCAGGACTTGAGTAAAGTGTTTCAACAGTGATTAAATGAATAATCACTGTTACAGATGGCATCCAGTTATCTATGTGCAGCTCAGGAAGGTTCGCTTTTTCTATCGAGCACCATCACCAAGCCCAACACTTTGGTTTATGAATGAAAACCATTGGTTTTTGACATCTTACTGTACTGAGTGGTAAAGAGTAACCCTTATACCTGCTTTAAATCAGCAGGTGAACACGCTTACATTACCAGAGAGCTTCTAGCATATCTGCAGACCGTATAAAGTAAAACTAAAATATAAATTCTGTACATACGGCAGATAGCAGATCGGGGAAACTGTCGACCAAACTGTGGAGGCAGCACTTCGATCCCATGCAGACTGGTGTTTGGCAAAGCGCACAGCATGGACAGCCCCCACAACATGAGGATGACCCTCTTAACGTGAGCACGTGTGGTCAAATGCTTGACTTTGAGGGGGTGCACCACCGCCACGTAGCGCTCCACGCTGAGCGCAGTGACATTGAGGATGGAAGCAAAGCAGACAGTTTCAAATAGGAAGGTTTTAAAATAGCATCCCCCTTCTCCGAGCAGGAAGGGGTAGTTCTGCCACATCTCGTAGATCTCTAACGGCATCCCCAGAAGCAGCACCAGCAGGTCGGACGCAGCCAGGCTCAGCAAGTAGTAATTGGTTGGCGTTTGCATCACCCTGTAGCGTAAAATGACCGCACAGGTCAGGGAATTGCCCAGGACACCCACGATGAAGATGGTGAGGTAAGTGACACAGACAGGGAGAAACATGGGGGATTTTGATTCCCCCAGATTTTTGGATAGGTACTTGTCCTCAGTCAAGCAAAGCTTTTCTTCCAGATCTTCTTGAGTGGCGTTCGTCAACACCCAGGAGATATTCATTCCACACACCACAGCAGAATCGGGGCATCCTAAGTCACTGAGTTCTCTGTCACCAGTTAAAATGGCTGCAAGAGAGTTGAAGGTGCAGTTAGGTATCGGCATCGTGGTGACTGGACAGCAGGTTCCTCAACTAATATAAACCTGATGGAAAAAGAAAAAGGAGACAGTGTGAATTTTAAAGGATTCCTTAAACACTCATGCGTCAGAAAAGGGTGAAGGCTCTTTAAGCTGCAGCCTTATTCACAACGTGGTTCGACAAAGCAGATGGATCTGCATATTTGATTTGACATATTGTTACACCAGATGCCCTTCCTGACACAACCCTCCCAGAGATTTGTAGCTCCTTCTGTTCTAAAAGGATCTTTTATATGTTAGGTGAGCGCATTATCCGCTACACTATGGAGCCAGTCAGGAATCTGTAAAAGTAGAAAGTAGGAAGTTTGATATTTAACATCTGATGGGATCAACTAGTGTTGTGATTTTTAAAAAATCTGAATTAAAAATGCAAACAGTTCATAATTAACGGTTGTTGAAGTTAAATAATACATTCATCTATGAGGCAGGGAAATGATACTGAAGATGCTGCTCCTTTGTATCTTGAGAACTATAGGATCCTGCTGTTTGAAGCTTGGCAATTAGCTTTATATATAAGACGTAGCCCCCATGATATCATGTATCAGTCAGTGCGCTGCAGTTTTGGCCAAGAACTACATGTCATCAGCTAATATTAGCTGCATTCATAGTGTGGCACATTAGTAACAGATGTAAATAGAATAATAGCAGAAATTCCCTCACTGAAGTTGGCGTGCAGACTTTCTTTAACTATCTCTTCGACAGCACAACTGCACTGTGAACCCTATTATCTGTCAGCGACTTCAATTAACTGAGGTGACACCAAGCAGACAGCTAGATGATAGCTGCCTGTCGCTCACTCACGCATAATCACATGTAATGTTAGACCTCAGTATAATTAAGACATCTAATTTAAAAACAATCCCCCCAAAGTAGTCTCATGGCATTACAGGTTGGCTTCAGCCCAGGCAGCTGTTGCTGGAGAATAAATGTAGGCATACCTTGTCCTTGGCTACTGTAATGTCCAACCTTGACATGATAAAATTTCAAGCCTCTGATTTAAAAAAGAAGAAGAAGCTTAGGTTCAAGTACAAAAGAAAGAAGTAAGCTCAGTGACTTTTTAATATTAATATAACTTTGATTGGATGTTTGCATCCTATGTGTTTTGTATCTCTACATAAAGAAAAGACAGTTGTTGGCTTTCATCTATAGAAACTAGCAGCAGCCCAATCAGTTCACTAATCCCTGATATGATAAGAATGTTCAGCACATGCTTTCTAATTATCTTTAATATGTTTAATATCCTCTCTGGTCCTCTCGACAAAAATTGATTTTACGATTAACAGCACTGTCACAATATTGCCCTGTTAGAAATTTATGTTCAGCAGAATACAGACGCCAGGGAGGCTGTTTAGATGTGTTTAGGCTGTGTTTGGATTCCCCCACGGGGATTTCTATATTGTTGTAACAGGCAGCGGAGTTGTTAAGATAACTTCAAATGAGGTACAAACAAAAAGGACAAACACTCACCTGCAGTTTGTGGTCTTTATACTCTTCTTATCTACAGGATTCGCAAGAGCTGAAGAAATGAGGGAAGATGGGTGATTGTCATGTTTCTCTGCATCCTGGACTTTTTTCTGACACTTTATCTTGACCGCCTTGGTGCCTTAGTGCGTCACAACTGGCTCGGCTTCCCGTATTTGATGGCTGGTGTTCAGCCCGCCTCTCGCTCTCTCTCTCTCTCTCTGTCTCTCTCTGTCTCTCTCTCTCTCTCTCTGTCTCTCCATCTCTCTTTATCCCTGGAGTATCTTCTCGCGTCCATCCATCACTACATGCTTTATCTTTCTCCTCCAATTCAACTTGTTTTCATCTTTTCTTCTCATCTTACTCTCGACACCGTGATACACACTTTCATGAACCTAGCCTGCACAGACACTACCTGCCTTGTGATCCTGCATTATATTGCTTTCACAGATATTGCACCGGTGAGAAAATTAAAGGTGAGATTGCTTTGACCCTAAAGCCTGCGAGCTGAGTACAGGTATGTGTGGTGTGTGTGTGTGTGTGGGTGTGCTCCTGTTTCCACTCATTTCAAATCAAAGATAAAACAAACACTCTTTTTCATTAGTAGAATCGGCAGCAACTGGCGAGGTGCACATCTGGAAACAAGAAAAAAAGGCTGTAAAAATATGAAATTTTGGGTTTTTCCATCAGAAAAGACGAAAAAGCTTTCGTTTTGATTTGTGCAACAGCTTTTTCTTAAATACTTTTTGCAATTTTGAAAAAAAAACCAACCAAAAAAATGTTAAAGAACCTACAGTCTGCAGAAGGCAAATGTGAATGTCTTGGATGTACCTCGGTGATCGATAATTGTGACGTGCGTGTTGGCATGACTGCTTTGCCGTTGATGTTCATGTCCCTCACAAGATGAATCATAACTACTTTGCTAATCTCTAATCTTTTTTCCCGTCAGTGTATTAAGATTTAAACTGGTTCAGAATGTTAGTTTTTGCTATATTTTAGCTGTAAGATGTTCCCACAGTTGTGTCCATTTGCATAGTTATTTGTCTATGCAAATGTGTTCGTCCAAAAACCCACATAGTTTGACTGTGCATTGGTCGAATGATGATTGATTGATGAGTGGATGGAGCAACAGTGGAGTTCACCAGGAACACGAGAAACAGGGGCTGCACTGGACACGTTTTATTGTTTCAACTTTTTGTAGTTTATCATTTCACTCTGGGTGGTGGACCACCTAAAACACAAGCAAGAGTGGCCCACCTTCCAGTTGTACCTCATACCTTTGGCACTGCCTCCATCTGGCAACAGGCGCTCTCTGCAGGAAGATGAGCAGTCTGCAGCACCCCACGGTCTACCAACGCACTGCCAATGTTCAGCCCATTAGGACTCCGAAATGCTTCTGCTGTGCTTCTAAAACAGACACGTTGTAACTGTTTGCTGTCACCAGGGGTCAGTGTCACAAACAACCCATCTGTGGGTTACTCTTGTTTGTGGTGGTGTTGATCCAACATATTAACCACATGCCAGGGTGAATCAAAGACACACTTGCTTAATATTAGCACTTTAGCGCTATGCAGCTGTTAGCATTTAGCTTGAAATAACCTACTAGTGTCACTAACAATATTGGGTGTAACTATTTACCATGCAGTGACACACAAGGATTTTTATAGAAAGTGAAGAAGTCAACCTATCTCTTTAGCAAGACACGTAGGACCAGATTAAAACTTGCTACCCTCCAGTCAGTCTCCTGTCCAGTCCTGTGAAACATTACTGCTTTCAAATCACAGCTACTAATAAAAAAAATGGCAACAGCTGACTGAAGACATTTTCTTGCATAACAATCAGCCAAGTAAGCAGGAGATAGGAAAGAAATGACAGAAACGCCTACAACTACAACAACGTCTTGCTCTTTGCAAGCATCTGCACAGACAGCATGCTAATGCTAAGCAGGCAAAGAGCCCAGAGTGATGATAAAGCTGATTGAATGCAGACCCCAACCAAACAGCCAGAACCTGGATTTCAACAGGTAACAAACGGATGAGTAGTCAGACTGCATCCTCTGTTTCTACCTGTTCATATTTCTAAAGTAGAATCACTGTGGCAGCAACGTTATAGTCTCTTTGTGCTGGTTTTCATCTTTGCTTTGTGTTGTCGGCTTTGTGTTCATACCCAAATACTAAGACAAATATCATATGTGTCCTCATTAGGATAGGGATTTGTGTTGGACTGTAATACGAATCACGTTGTCTTGGTAATTATGAGACAATGTGTTTCAGGTCAGTTTACAGAGAAATGCAAAAGTAATGTAACGAGTAGTATAACACCTTACTTTCTCCTGGATTGTTGTACAAAAAGGCAAGAATGCGATGGTAAAGTGCAAACTCTGTTCGACTCGACTATCACCATTTGTACCAATGCAGCTTTGAATGTTTCTAAGCAAAGGCAACATAACAGCCCAACCAAGAGTGATGCACGAGCAGAGTGCACGATGATCTTAACCAAGAAGTAAAAGCTTGATTGTCAGCAGGTAAGAAAATCATGGATGACAAGTGAGGTTTTACTGTTATGAGATTTTTCCTTGAAGTTCTCTTCTACTATCTCTGCTGTTAGCTTTGCCTTAAAATGTATATACAAAAACAAAGCTCTGATATATATGACCTCCTAATTAAGACTGAATGAAACCACAATGAGGAACTTTAAGCAAATTGCCAGTGAGACGTTTTCTCCTTAGGGATTCAGACAAAAACACTGTTGTTATATAGCAACACAGCGATCTTGTAAGCAACCAGTCACATAATCAATTACAGGAGAAAAACCTTTAAAGGCAAACCACTCCACTTCTTTCGTCAAGTACAGTTAATCGCAAGATAAACAGTAGTAGTACAAAGTACTTGTTGGATGATATTGCATTGTATTGCAGCAGCCTCAACCACCCACTTTTGTGGTACCCCCTCCACCCCCACCCCCCACTGGCTCTGTTCCAGGAAATGAGAGCTGTGGTTTTTTTCTTGCCGTGCCGCTTTCAGCGTGAACGTGTCCTCTCTGAACTGAGCAATTAGCGAGTCGTAACGACGGATAAAATCACCAACCCTGCATCTCTTTCTGCTAGACCAGTAATAAGTACAGTGGTCTGTAATGTATGGCATGTTTTTAACATCAGACCTCGAGCTTAATCCAAGCACTGCTTAATCAGCACAGTCTCGTTACACCTTATTTCATCACTCACTGCTACAGTATGAAAAACAGGGTTGATGTATTTTAACGTGGGTCCTTGATTTTAAGTGGCTTGTGGGGTTTTTTGTGTTTTGTCTTCCTGCATTAGGCTGAGGACATGTGAGTCATCAAGTGTGTTCTTGTGCTGTATCGGGAAGTGAAGTACTCCAGTTCTAAAGGCTGAGATGAGTGCTTTTATTACTGCAAACCAAAAGCCTCATTAGCCAGAAATCCAGGATTTAAGACTATTTTTGCATTTGTGCAGAGAAGAGAAACTATTCCGTACGTGAGGATTGTCTAGCTGATGCAGCAGCTCACTGAGAAACATCCTACACAATACATTTACAGACTAGCAAGGACGGAGACAGATAAATCATCAGCGATGCTTCTGTCAGAGAGCAGAAAATTTTGCCAGTTGAACACGATCGTATGACTGTGGCTTGCCCCCCTCCACTCCTCCTCGTAACCCTGCCTCCCTCTGCGATGGTGACTAATTCAATCATTGCTTTTAATCCTGATGCTGGAGTCCAACACTTTCACAGCAGGGAAGCGATATGTCCCTGTTGGTGCCTCCTTTTAGCCAAGTGTTAATTTGGATTCTGTGACAGGGGGCCAGCAGCAAAATGTTTTAAATGAGAGTGGACTAAACTGTGACCACAAGAGTGAAAGTCATAATGAAAGCTGATGTGGTGAAGGATGGTTTCACAGACACTGAAAATCCCATTTTTCTGTTATATAGCCCCTGTCAGTGCATACAGATTTGGTCTTTCAGCTTGTCCCTGTTTTTCTTTGTTTTTGATATTCAAGGCTCAGTATTACTAGCCTCCATTGCTCAGTGAATAGCTAAATAGTGCTTTTATTTTGATCTACATGTGGGTACTTCCCTGTGGGGACTATAGACAGTTTAAAAGGCAGATGTAACTTTTGGGTCTGAAAAGTAAAGCTAAGAAGTGCCTTAAATTTACGTTTTTTTAAAGGCCCGGGGATGCAAACACTTTCATTCCAATAGGACTTACTTATGGGATGATGGCCTTCAGTCAGCCCCTTTCTAATGAGTTTATTGCCTCAGACATCATTTATTCTATATGACTCCACTTTGTCCATTTTGAAAATGTTGGTCAGTCTAAGTGTCATTTTAGGGCAAGTAACCAGATTAAAAGTCAGACAGGACTAAAAATGCTTCATGTAAACATGCCAAACAGGACATTCGGACCCGATCACGCTCCTTTGGATCAAAAGTTCCTTCTGATAGGGACAAGTTGGTTATATCGATCGATAATCAGATTGGTTTGCATGGATAGACTTCTGAAATGATCTCTACTGCACGTCTTTACGTTGACGTACTGTTTTTTGAAGCCATTTGAAAATGTATAACTGTAAGGTAACGTTTTCAGATATTTACATGGGCAAAAGTACAAAAGATACACTGAAAAAACATTAAAAATACATTAAAAGTCTGAATATAAAAATTAAAAGTACTCATATCATTTTTTAACTCACACTTTAAAATAAAACCAGCATTTTGTTTTTGTTACTGATGATAATAGAGCCCATCTGTTGCAGATCACGCTGCAGCTAATGATAATTTTCACTACAGTCTAATCTATTCTCAATTAACTGATTGCTTGGATTGTAAAACTTCAGAAAATGGTTTTAGATAACAAAGCGAGACCATTGCAGGGATACTTTGTCTAACAAGCAAGCCAAATCCCCAAATTGCACATCCAAAAAACTAAGGATAAAAGTCTTAAACACAAAAAAGAGAAAGAGATCATTTTGAATTCACGTGTAATCAATCAGTGAAGCACCTCAGCTTTAATTCTCTTTGACCTGCAATCTTAAGCTCTATAAACTCTGAATACATCTTGTGGACAAACTAGTACAGTCATATAAATAAAGGATTAAAAAGTTGCTAACAAGACTTCCCTTTGAAATGAAGTGGAGTAGAGGT